CCCCCAGCAGAAATTTAAGCCAAAGTGCATCCTGGTTGCCAGGTGTGAAGGTCCTTTCCCCTCCCTCACTGCTAACCTGCCCATTCCTGTGGCTCTCCGTGCGGGGGAAGCAGGGATGACCAGACGTGGGGTGGGAGGAGGCTGTATGCCTCCTTCCCAGGGTCTGCTCCCGCAGGTGGGACCCTGGGGCAAAAGCCTTCACCCCTTTGCTGGTGCTTTGCATGGGAGTTTTGGGGGTTGTTTTTTTTTTTTAAGCCAGGCCAGACTTCAATATGTTATTCAAAACTCTCTATTCAACACAGATGTTGCTGTTACCTTTTCATTGAGCACTTTGGCTCTGCCACTGAACGCCACACGTTAAGTAAATCTTTCCCTTGTCCTCCTTCTCTCATTATCTTTTACAAGGTTTGGCTGGGGGTTAGTTACCCTTTAACAGCCCCGGCCCCGAACATTGCTCAAACAGCCCACAAAACACCTGAGCAGCCCTGCCATGCCAGGGTGGTGACCAGCACAGTTTAACAGCAGAAATCCCAGCTCTGCCAAGTGCCTGCAGAAAATTCCCCAGGCCCAGGTGCTCGGCACCCACCGGCACCTGGGACACCTTCTGAAACTCTGTGAAATGTCCTTCAGGGTTGGGCCGTGCCCTCAATACACAAGGTGCCCGGAGAGGACCCAGCCCCTGCCAGCTCCTGCGACACTGACGGGGTGATTTGACCACAAATAGGGCAACATGATGTTTATTATGCTGCTGATCTGCTGAAGGCTGTCTGTTGGGTTTTTCTTGCAGGTGGCTTTTTGATCCCGTATTTTATCATGCTGATAGCTGAGGGGATGCCGCTACTCTACTTGGAGCTGGCTGTGGGGCAGCGTATGCGTCGGGGCAGCATCGGTGCCTGGAAAATAATAAGCCCCTACCTCTGCGGTGTCGGTATGTTCTCATCTTTAGTTTTAAGTGTCTGGGGATCACAGGTAATTTTTGAATGGAGAGCTTTGTCTTCCAGAGAAGAAACCAGGCAGGAGCTGGGGTTTTACTGAGTCTCACCAGGCTGAGCAAAGCAGTTATCCAGACACCTCATGGCATGCATTCACCCTGTCCCTTGAGGGGCATTGGGGCCAGACCCCAGCTCGCTGTGCTGGGCCCCTAGACTCGGTGTGAGTCCCCCTGCCCTCAGGAAGACTGCCAAAATCATGATGTGAAGGCCAGCACTAAACCCAGCCCCTGGGGCTGCCTGCACTGGGCTTTGACCCCAAGAGCGTCTTCCCAATAAGCTCAACATGGAGTGATAAAACAGCGCCTTAATTTCCTACACTTGCCGTTTGTTGTTACCGTTTACCAATGTCCTCTCTTAGCTATGTTGTTACGTTATTAAATTACCCTGGTAACCCAAACTGTCATTAATTTGCTTACACATTTTATTTTTAAACCTGATGGGAGGAGGAGGCAGCTGCAGTGGGGGGTGCATGCCCTATGCTGACCACAGTGCCCCTCCCCGGGGGTTTTGCCACTGACCGAGTGCCTCCCTCCATGCCCGCAGGTGTTGCCAGTGTCGTCGTCTCCTTCTTCCTCTCCATGTACTACAACGTGATAAATGCCTGGGCCTTCTGGTACCTCTTCCACTCCTTCCAGGTGTGTGGCTGCCTGGTGGCACAGCTCGGCCCCGCTGTGGCTGCGGAGGGTCGCAGCGGTGTTGTATTGGTGCTGGATGTTGCATGATGGCACCATCGTCAGCTGGGATCGGGGAGGGGGGGCAGGCAAAAGCTCCAGAAATCCTCCAAGCGCTTTTCTGGGAGGAAAAATGAGGCAGTGGTGTCCCCCTCCGGGGGCTCCCCAGGGGCATTGCGGTGTCTTCTCCTCACCACAAAACACAGGTTGAGGCCAGGCCCATGATGCCTTGCTTACATATGCCTTGGCAGCCATGGGATGGGTCTGCACCCTGGGATGGGTCTGTCTGAAGGCAGGGGAGAGGGTTGGCCCTGGGGGAGAGGATCAGAGAGGGTCATTCCCAGGGGAGAGGGTCAGAAACCATCAGTCCTTGGGGAGAAGGTAATCCCCAGGGGGGAGAGGGTCATCCCCAGCCCCCAGCAGCACAATGTGGAGACAAGCAAGCCCCGGGGCAGAAAGCCACCCTCCTTGCCTTCATCCCCCCTGAACCCCACTGGCACCCTGGCTCTCCCCACCGTGCTGACAGCAGGCGCTCTCCCCATGTCCCTCCCTCCCAGGACCCCTTGCCGTGGGCCACCTGCCCCCTGAACAGCAACCACACCGGCTATGAGGAGGAGTGCGAGAAGACGTCGTCCACCCAGTACTTCTGGTACCGGCAAACCCTGAACATCTCTCCATCGCTGGAGGCCAGTGGGAACGTGCAGTGGGAGCAGGCGCTCTGCCTGACACTGGCCTGGCTGGTGGTCTACCTCTGCATCCTCCGTGGCACTGAGTCCACCGGCAAGGTGAGAGGTGGGGGCAGCCCCACTGAGCCCGGGCAGGGCCTGGGGAGAATAAATGAGTGCCAGAAGGCAGCGGCTGTGGCTGCTGTTACTTGGGGTTATGGCATTTCCCCTGGAGCAGCCAGCCCCGCTGCCTCTGCCACCCTGTTAAGTTGCAGCTGAAGAAGGCTCAACCAAAACACTGAGCAACATTAAAAAAAAAAAGTCCAGAAAAGTCCTTTAATTGCAGCCACCTCTGCTGCAAAACCAGCCACCAGGGTGCTGGCCCTGTGGAAAGCTGTCTGCCACAGCAGAGCTGTGTCAGGAGACATCTATTCCTCGGTCTTTGCAAGGAAAAAAAAAGACGTTTACTGGGCATTTTGCTCACTTTTTATTCACAGCAGAAGTTATGGGCAAGGGGGAAAAAAACAGTGTCCTGGCTGAGCCTGCACTAAGAAGTAAGCTGAGGGCTGTAATCCCCAAATCGTCTTAGCTGAACGCAGAAAGCCAAGAGACTGTAAACTAAGAATAACCTCTTAAACTTGCTACAGCTGGCTTTGGGGGCAAAAAAGAAATAAATAGCCAAGGAGCATTGAAACAGCATCATGAAGGCAGGGTCTTGTTGGGGAGGGCACAGGGGGGCTTCCACTGCATCCCTTGTGCCAGAACAGCAACGGGTTATCCAAGTTTCTGGGTGAGCTATTGGGGTACATGCCAGCAAAAAGAAGGTGATCGGATTCTCCCCTTTTTTTTTTTTTCTGCAAGTGGCTTTTTCCAATGTGGAGACTGAACAGTTAGATTCAAATTCAGGGGTTTGATCAAAAGCTCATGGAAGACAACTGAAAGACTTCGTTCCCCCCATCCTACATCTGGGTTACATTAAGTTAGTCTTTTTCACATCTGAATTAAAATAGTTTGATTTTTCACCTTTTATGAGGCCTTCCTCCAGAGCAGATGATGGATAACCTTTGCCTAATGAGTTTGTGTAGACAGTTGTAAACTGGTGTTACTCCACTAAATGCTGCAGAACTGAGTTTGTAAACACTGCAAATATTTTAGATTTTGTTCTTATTTTTCTAAAGAGAAGACCCTGGGAACAGAAGCACAGGTCTTCATTATTTATAAAAACTTGTCTCCCAAAACCCCAGATCTAAAGTTAGATTTATCTGAAAATATTTCTTTGAAGATTAATACAAGGTAACAAACACAGTAGTGGAAACTATTTATGTAAAGTAAGTTGGACTGACCATAGTAGATTAGCTCTGTCTTATGTATTCTTCAGACCAAGGTATTTCCCCCTCCTTCCCCCAGGTTGTCTACGTAACAGCCTCTTTGCCATACTGTGTTCTCATCATATACCTCATCAGAGGATTAACACTTCATGGAGCTGTGAATGGGCTTGTCTACATGTTCACACCAAAGGTACAGAAAAATCATACTGAATTTTTCATGAAATGTTATTAGTTACCAAACATGTAGGTTTTTAAAAGGTGGTGATGCTCCTTTTCCTTACATTGAATTTTTGCAGCAGTAGCTTAGGTCAGGCTGTTGGAAACTGCAGCTGAGAGTGGCTGGAGGCTGTTCTGCCATAGTGCCCATAAGCTGCTTGCTTTCTCTTGCAGAAAAAGACCTGCCCATTAACGTAACCTGTAGCATACTACTTTCAGACTGAGCAGTAACCCTGCCCAGAAAACACCCCTGAAAATGGGTGCATGAAGGGCCCTGTCCCCGTCCCCATCCCCATCCCTATCCCTGCAGGCATGTGTCCGCAGCTTCATGCTCCCGCTCTCCCCATCTGGTTTTTGCAGCTGGAGCAGCTGTCGAACCCCAAGACATGGATCAGCGCAGCCACGCAGATCTTCTTCTCGCTGGGCCTAGGCTTTGGGAGCCTCATTGCATTTGCCAGCTACAATGAGCCCACCAACAACTGCGAGAGGCACGCCATCATCGTCTCGCTGATCAACAGCACCACATCCATATTTGCCAGCGTTGTGACTTTCTCCATCTATGGCTTCAAGGCGACGTTTAATTACGAAAGCTGTATAAACAAGTAAGAGCCTGGTATTTCACTTGTTATTCACTGCAAGCCTTTCTGGGGAAGGTAAGAGGGGAGGTAAATAAATAACAGCATGCAGTGCTGCCAGGGTTGCCTCGAGATCAGATCTGATACTGCTCTAATAAAGCTAATGGTGCTATTTAAAGCGATGAAGGCTGAGATGAAAGGTCAGGGCGGGCTTGCTTTTTGACACCTGGGTGCCACTTCCAGGCATGGGCCAGGTCGAGAGGATGTGTTTGCCTGGGCAAGTCACAGCGGTGCCTTCCCCTGTGCCCTGGTCCTGGCACATGCTCCAGGGGAGTGGGGGTGGGGGCTGATTAATAAAATGCAGCAATGCGCAGATCCCCCCCCCTTTAAGGCTAAGCCCTGTGCCAAAAGCTAAGCCTCCTCAGCGGCAATGGTCTGGAGGTGCCCAGCAGCCTGCAGGATTGTGCCCCAGGGCAGCAAGCTCACATGCGCTTCCTGGCACAGGGCCTGTGGCAGTTACACTTTTACTCATATTTTTTTACAGCTTTCAATCTATCTGCTGATCAGAGAGGAAATCAGAGCTGCTAGTCCCTACTTGTTGCCAAAAGGCTTGTTAAATTGGTGGGGTGTGGACGTGAGACCAGAGGGCAAAGGGGAAGAGACGCCAGCCGGCACTGGCCGGCACCCAAAATACCTGCCTGGGAGCAGCAGTGTGGGCGCAGGAGCTGCTCCCTCCGAAGCAGAGATGAGTGCGAGGTTGCCCATGTCCCAACACTGTGCTGGAAGTGCCACAGCTCCCACCTGGGGAGACCAGAGCCCTGGGGCTGGCAGAGCATCCCTGTGTGGTGGTGATGGGGAAGGGGACAAGGTGTAAAGCCAGCCTCAATTTTATACTGTGGCTTGAAAGCCATTAAATTCCCGTAATCTTCCCCAGGGTGATCCTGCTGCTGCTGAATGCTTTCGACCTGGAGGAAGGCTCTTTAACAGCAGACAACCTCAATGAGATGAAAGACTACCTCATGGTCACCCACCCACAGGAATACGCCCAATTATCGCCACAGCTTAAAAACTGCAGCTTGGAAGCTGAACTAGATACAGTGAGTCACTGCTTTGTGCTGGCACCTGGGCTTCACTCTCTCCCTTCCTCCCACTGAGCCCGGGCAGCCCCTCAGCCCCACATGGGCACATCGGAGCCACCTGGCCGGGGACTGTGGTGGGGCTCATTTCTACACCTCAGGATGGGGCAGGGGCACTAGCTTAGCCCGGCAAAGGGCTCACTTGGGTCATTCACAAATGAGCTGGGTGGCAATGCAGCAGGACTGCGGGCTCCAGCTGCGGGGCAGGGCAGGTTGCAAAAGTTTGGGGTGAATGTTTTTGCTATGAGCAGCACTACGCCAGTTTCCATGCAGTCTGAATAAACTGGCGAAGATCTCATCTGCCTCTGCTGTGTAAAACCACCGCCGGTGTATTTTGTCATGGCGGAGGGTCAGTCTCTTACATCCCTGTTCTTATGTCCTTTATCGGGCTGAGGTGCTGCCCATAACTCACTTCTTCCCTGCTTCTTGCTGGTAGGCTGTCCAGGGGACAGGACTAGCATTTATAGTCTATTCTGAAGCGATCAAAAACATGGAGGTGCCCCAGCTGTACTCTGTCCTCTACTTCGTCATGCTGCTGATGCTGGGCATCGGCAGCATGCTGGGAAACACTGCCGCTATCCTCACGCCGCTGACCGACAGCAGGGTCATCGCCACCCGCTTCCCCAAGGAGGTGATCTCAGGTAAGCACCCGCCATGTCGCAGTGTAGGCCACACACTGAGAGCACGCGTGTGTGCAAAAGCTTTGGTGCCCCACAGCTGTGGAGGGTCCCTCTTTCGACCTCAGGTGGAGCAGGGGAATATCAAATATGCTGGCAGAACGGTTTGCCTGCCCTTGGGAAATCCTGCCCAGCCTGTACAGCGCTTTTCCCTCGGGAGCTCTCAAAGCACTAGAGCAATCATGGCTGTGTATTTGCAGGCTTCCCAACACACCCCAGCTCCTTCAGACTGGTGTCTACTGCCCAGTGAAACTCAAAGGGCCAGGAAAAATGTCAAGACACCTGCAGTGAGTGGCTCTTCCGTCACATCACCAGTATCCCAACTGTGAACCACCTAGGTCTTTGGCCAAAAGTGATACGCGCTCCCATTTGGGCACAGAAATCGTTTGTCCCACCTTAAAACCTGTTTTAGCAGGATGCCCAGCAGTAACAGCAGATGCTGCACACACATGGGACAAGGCTCTAGCCAAGACTTGGCTGTCTTGACCCTGCTGGGATGATGTGCTGTGACTGTGCACATCTAAGGAGCAGCAGTTTAAAGATACACCAGCATAGTCACACACACACGGAGACAGGTCTTTTCCAAAGGGAAAAAAAAAATTACCTTCCTCCTCTGAAAAAGCTGCTCCCCTGCAGAAATCAGTAGAAATCCCACCAGCTTTTTAGTCACAAGAAGTATGACATTTCCCCCATGCAATTAGATTTCCAGGTGTAACAGCACGGTCCCTGTTTTATCCACACAGGTGTTGTGTGTTTCATTAACTGTGTGATTGGCCTCATCTTCACCATGGAGGCCGGAAATTATTGGTTTGACATATTCAATGACTATGCAGCCACCCTCTCACTGCTGCTCATCGTGCTGGTAGAAACCATTGCTGTGTGTTATATCTACGGGATAAGAAGGTAAAAGCTTGAACCCTCCTTTCTTCACTGTGGGATAGCTGGGGAAGTGACCACTGGCTAAGAATAAAAATACTACCTTGGGCTAAATTTTTCTCCTATGCTGTGGTACCAGCAAGGCAATGGGTGTGTCCCCTGCCCTGCAGCCTCCTCCAGGGCCTCAGGTTCAGGGCTGTGCGGGGGCCAGGCTGGGCTGACATCTTCTCTGCAGGCCAGGGAGTATTAATGAGCCGTACACACTGCTCCCTGCTCTTCTTGGCTTTGGTCTCAAAAGTACCTTCTGCCGAAACTCTGCTCCTCCTTTCACAGCAATTCAGTGCAAGCACAACAGTGCCAGTAAGTCTGTTTTCAAAGATGGTCACCTTGCGCATCACTGGTCTCCCAAGTCATCCCTTGTGGGTAAAAGCAAGCATCAGCATCAGGAAAGGTTTTAAACGGCAGGTGTTTGGGCTCAGGGCAGCTAAAGGAAAAAGCTTTAGTATTTTCTGTCTTTTGTCTATTTGCTGCACAGTACGTGTACAGGCACCTATGCTGGTATTACATCCTTGATGAGTTTAAAGCCTTTGAGACAGATCCAGGTTTCCTGTGTGATTTTTAGGTACCATCCCCAGCATCAGTACTTCCTCAAAGAGAGTCACGTAACAGTGCTGAGAACAACTCAACTACACAAAAATGAGCAGTGTTTTCTCCACAGTAGTTAAGTGTCATTGCTTTTCCCTGTCAGCTTACACCAATAACAGTCTGAACGTAAGACTCCAGGCAGAATCTGGCTGGGGCTTTTCCTGCTCTACCTGTTTCTAGCTACCGCTCTGCAGTTTGGGATCCTCTCGGAAGCCCTGCTATCCTTTTTATTTGATTTCAGCCTCACTGTATGATCCAGTTCTTCAGACAAGACCCCTCTGCTCATTATTCTTCTGGCCAACTGTACTCCCCTTTCCTATTTTACATATTTAATTCTGTAGGTGGTTTTGAAGTAACTCAGATCAAGTTATCGATTGAACGTATGCAGCTGTTCTCAAAAATATGTGTTTTTGTTTTTAAACACAGATTTGAGAAAGATCTTTACACCATGATTGGACGCAAGCCAAACTGGTACTGGAAAATTATGTGGGCTTTTGCTAGTCCTTTGCTAATTATAAGCCTATTTATATTTTACCTCACTGACTATATCCTCACAGGAACGCTACAATACCAAGCATGGGATGCCACACAGGTAAAATAGTTTTGGTTTGTTGGGTTTTTTTAATTTATTTTTAACTTTCCTTAATTCCCGCAAGGACACAGCCTTCCTTCCTAACTACATTGTTCCACAAAACTGCCTTCTGAAAGCTTGCAGCTGGAGCTGGGGCCATCCCTGGTAAGGTAAGATGGGGAGAACTTGACCTAGTGACAACAATGCAATGGTTCTGTAAAATGAGCTCATTTCCCTCTACGATTCTTAATTGACCCCTTCAAACAGTAAAATTGTATTCGTGTTGAAGACCCAAATATCTTAAAAAATACACTTTAAACAGAAAAATTACTTTCAAAGTATGGCATTTTGAACAAAATTAGTGGTATTTTAACAGAACTGAGCTGCTGCTGGAATAATAGTCTTCACTAATTATCATATATGTTTTTCCTCATGGCCAAAACACTTTTGTACGAATACTGAACTGTGTATTTATCACAGAGGAATTACTACTGGATAAGTAACCACTGGTTTCATAACCTTTTGTAGAAATGTTCCTAGCACACAGAAACAAATTATGCACACTGTTTTCATGTTATTGCTGATTTGGGACCTGCACTAGGCCTGCCCTGTTGACTAGGTGTCAGCATGAGCCCACAGGCTCCAGGAGAGGAACACAGAGACCTGACAGAGGTCAGGGCTGAGCCATCTCATTAAGAAACACAAATCAAGCCAAAATCTGCTCTTTACCAAAGCTTGCAGAAGTTCTCCCCACTATTTTTGTCAGCAGCTCTGTTCTTGTTGTCAATTTTAAGCATGTATAGTTGGACAAAGAAAAGCACTGAGGACAGTCATGGGCTGCTACAACCTGCACATGCTTCTCCACTGTCCTGCTTAGATACACACGCGCAGCTTTGCTCCAGACCTGGCTCCAGGACCCTGAAAACCACCAATCCCACAGCTCCAATGTTGCTTCTCTCCCTTGCAGGGGCAGCTGGTGACAAAGGATTACCCAAGCTATGCCCTAGCCGTGATTGGGCTGCTGGTGGCGGCATCCACCATGTGCATACCCCTGGGAGCACTAGTAACTTTTATAAGGAAGAGACTGAAGAGGGAAAGGGTTTCAACTGTTGCTTGAACACCAACAGCTGGATTTGGGAAGACCTTACCCCCACTGTCAGTGACCGGGCACTTCTGGAAGACAGCAGCAACCATTATTTGTAGCAGCTATTTATAGAGTTGAGAATCATGGGTGCTATATTGACCAAAAAGTGCTCTTAGGAGGTTCCACGATGGTTTGGAAAAAAAAGCTCTTCTCTAACAAGATGAAGCTTTATAATGGCCTCTGTAAGAGAGGGAAAAACAGAAGAGCAGCTCACAAAATGCTAGCTAGTGCATATCAACCCATTACACAACATTAGGTAATTCTTTTCCACTCTGTTGTAGCACTGCCTGTGTAGAAACATCAGCAACCAACTAAGCATGTTCCTGCACCAAAGTACTGGCAAACACCCTTGCCATTCAAGAAAGCCAAGCTTAAAGCATCCATGTTATTTGAAATGACATCTGTATTTCATCAACAGATGAAACTGTCAAAGTCTTGCAATAAAAATGTGATAGTCTCGTTCCTACAAGGGAAAAGTCAGTAGGATGGTAGTTGAGATCAATGTGGCCAACACTGCTTCTTTCATACTTGTGTCCAGCAAAGCAGTTTGTTTATATATATTTATCTATATACACACACATATATATATGAGCTGCAGAAGTTCTCTCACCTCCAGAAGAAGTAAACTTCCAATTCCAGTATGTAATTGTGCACTGTGCTGTACTTTGTATTTTCTAGGGATGCGCTTCAAGTACACCAGAAGAAATCTGTGATAAAACGCTTTACAAGACCCACCCAAACAAAAGTATGCCATATCATTGGCTCTGACAAAGTTCATATCAAGGTATACTTTAATCATGAGATGTAGCAATAATCCAGCAGTTCCACAGGACTGGCTAACTTCCCTATGTGAGCATTTTATAAAGAAAACAATGTTTAAATTGTAAGCTTAGTAAAAAAACCAGTGAAATTATATCTATGAACATTAAAGAGGTCACTCTGAAGAACAACATAAGAGACACACTCATGGGATGCGGGTTTTTAATATAGTGTCTTAACTATGTAACCATCAGAAGATGGCAAGTGCCTCATAAGAGGGATTAATTTCAAGCAAACATTGTTAAAGCATACCAGCACAAGTCTGTCTCTCTGGGGCAAAAAGCAAGAGCTGTTACAGCCTTCAGGGGTGGGTGAAATCTTGACACACACAACCAACACCAACAAGACATGCTTAGTCTGCAACAGGCTCTAGAAACAGGACATGCCTCCCTCCCCAGACTTAACTAACAAAGGAAAGATTACTTTTTCACATTTCAGTTTATTAAAAATGGATACCATAAACAAGACCTGTACAAAAAAATATCCAAAATTGCCCAGAATTTGGTAACGGTTACGTGGTGAGAAGTTATCGTCTCGGGCCCCCTCTTCCTCTTCCACGGCCTCGGCCTCTGCCACGGCCTCTGCCACGGCCTCTTCCAGCAACTTGGCAGATGAAACAAAAAGGATAAATCAAATGAGACCCAAGAATACTTTCATTTTCATTAAAACATTCTGTATCAAGCATAAACAAAACACTGCTTCCCTGTGACAAGACGTCAAGTCAGATATTAAGGCTGTTAATGCTCAGTAAGTTTCAGACAACATTTTCATCTTTTGTATTAGGTTTTTCAGTATGCAACTTCCACAGGCTACCGTCTGTCTTTGGCTTCACTGCAGAAAATGAGGGGAAATAACACTTGGCTGCTCCCAAACGCTAGGATAAGTCTGACAGACAACTATGACTCCTCCTCGTTTTTCAGGCATCAGAAAAAACAAATGCAAGACAAGAGTATTTTGTTACTGTTCATTACAGTGGAGAAGAGGGTTTTTTTTGCCACAGCTTGCACTGTTTTATAAAGTACTCTGCTGAAGCGAAATGCGAGTTTTAACATGCTGTGAGATTCCCAAGCTCAGCCTTCATGTGAAAGGGCAGCATTTTGAAAGGATCCCACCACCAAACGGCCCCTATTGTTTTCAGTGATGCCTCTGCCAATTTTGGACATGATTCCTAAGGCAAAGTCTTGGCTGTGTGCTCCTACTTTTAAATGCTGCTATTTAACGGTAAAGGGCAGAGAGAATCACAGAATAATTGAGGCTGCAAGCAACTGCTGGAGGTCATATGATCCATACGGTGATAACATGTCAGTTCACCCCTTTTTCCTAAAGAAACACAACCTGTCCCATCAGGTTGCAAGGCCACCCTACAAACTTTTGAAATTACTGGTTAATTTCAAACAAGTCTGTCAGTGTAGGGCTCAAAAAGATACTTAAAATTCTGGGGAAGTGGGTGGCTGGGTAAGAGACACACCACACACCAGCATCCCCACTCACGCAGCAGGCTGTAACAATTACTCTGTTCCACCTGACAGTGCCTAGGTTAGATATGCAGTAAAGACAGGAAGAGCAGAGGCACAGGAGAAATTTGTGAGAAGCAAGACATCATTTCTTTTGCTGGTAATAGACCGACTCTGTAAAATACACCCAAGCATCAACACCTGACTAAAAGATTACAGCATCTACTCGCATCAGTAGACAGTCGTGTTCACTAAGTGACAGCACACTCGGGCCCAAGGCACATGGGCCCCCTACATCTCTCGGCACCAGCATCCTGCCTTCCACTGACGATTCTGCTTGCCAAGGACAGACCACGTGTTAGATGCTGTTGAAGCCCAAGGGTGTTTTACAGATTAAGGCAAAGCACAGCACAAGAGTGCTTCAGTACGCGGAAGATGCAAGGAGTATTAAACCGAGGTAAACAGTGCTATCACAGCTCCTCTTCTGTCTTCAAAGTTAAATAGTGACGTTCTTGTTCACATCACACCATGAGGTTCAGAAAAAAAGTAGTCCAACCACACTCATTTCTCCATGTGGTCAGATTATTTTTAAGGGACATGAGAGGAGCAAAACACTTTTCAGGAGCTTTATACTTATTCTCTGTAAAGACAGCAGCAGCACCTGCACTTCGTGATGCACACACCTGAGGGTTCCTTATACCATTTCAGTAAAGGTAAGCACACCAATTCATAACATATGCATGGATCAAAGACCACAGATCCAAATACTTAAACCCTAATTACAGGAGAAATGGTACGACATTATTTTAGAGCACAATTAGCTTTCACTTACTATTCTAAAAATACACAGATGGCAAAATATATACTGCCTGAAGACAAGCTACAGATTTTCTGGGGTCTACTGGATATTAATCTGTAATAGTGTGGATGAAAATTGAAATTGCTCTCTATACCATTAGGCTTCTAGGGAAAGCGTTTTTGTACAACAGCCTTTTGAAAAAAAAGTTCCAGGAAGAGCACACAGTGGAACACTACTGGGAGCCAAAGCTACAGAGCTGCTCATCAGAACACAGCCTAGACTTCCTCAGCTCCTCAAATCTCTCAAATTCAGTTCTCCGACAGATAATTTCTATCCACTACCAAGCGAGATTTCAGTAAAGCATTCAGCAGTGTTCAAGACGCTGTTCTGTACTTTCTTATTAGGCTATGTGAAGTCCTCCATACAAACCAGGGAAACACAGTAGACATTTGGAGCAGAGGAAATTTAAATCTCTTTGGTGTCAACTCTGAGCCTGTGATAGGTCAAAATTTACTCAAGCTTCAAAACATTTATATTTTTAAAAACAGATGTGTGAAAAGCCACACAACATAGTTTCACATGAAAGCAAGCTCTGCAGATGCCAAGAAGGTGGGGCAAGGCAGACTTAGCCAGTTCAGTATCAAACCCTCAAAGATGAGAGAACTAGCTGCCAAATGCAGGTATTAAGACACTCAAACCAGATGCCTTCAGATTCACAGTACTAAAATGCATACGAAGGCAGAACAAACACAAACCAGGAAAGCAGCAACTGACCTGCTTCTCTCTTCTTGGATTTGACTTTTGGTTCAACATCCACTAGCAAAGTATCCAGAGGCAAACTGTCTGGCAGAATGAAGTATCGGATGTTATTCCCTCGAATACTCAGCGTCTCCAGCTGCACAGGTTCTCTGTTCTTCAGTGTCATTTTCACAGCTTTGAGATGTGTGTTCATACTGACATCTACTCCTGAAACAACACAAGTCTCATTTCAAGGATGAAAGCCTATAAGACCATCCCTTGTTGGCTATTTTTAAGTGTGCACATGCTTCGAGATTTGTAGTGTTCATTAACGCTGGCTTCTGCCACTCATTAATTCAGCCTCTAACTGAAGGAAACAACATGGCTTTTTCTCTCCTAAATTACGCTCACTAATTTGTCAATTGCTGCCTTTAACACCTCATCGGTAGAGATCTTTATCTAGGTCCTGGCAATAGCAATTTTGTAAACAGTTAAAACAATTCCTTTGAACAACAAATAAACTGCCATTTATTACAGAAGCCTAATACTAGTCTTTTTACTCCTTTAACAAGAAGCAAAACATACCTTTGAGAAGGAGAAAGAACTTGATCATTTCCTCTTTCTGTAAGCCTTAGAAAAATCCAACTGCCAAAGCAGCATTTATTTTCTGATAAAATATGTCTAATACTAGTGTGATATCTTCCATGAAAGTACATGAAATACACCACCGTAGGGAACAATCACTGTGGTTATAAATTCCGCGAACAGCCAGTATGTAAGGGCTGTATGGAATCAGTACTGTGCCCACTACGCTGTGCTATGTGTGTAATCCGCAACTGGAAAAAAGTCTCAGTTGGATGTATGTATCATGGAAAGACAAACCGTAAGATATCTTACCAAGGTAAATAACCCAGAGTGGCAGGCCAGAACCAGAACAACTGTTGTGCTGTGTTTATTCCATATATTTCCCTGTCCTCTCCCCTTACTCCTAGATTTTACACAGCTGCCTAGCACCTGTGCTCCACCTGAGCCGCTCCCTCGGTTTGTGTAAGGTGTGCATTGCATGAAACCTGCCCCTCCAGCAAGCCTGCTCTGTCCGGCCGATGCACCACGGGGAATAGGAGATTGTACAGTTCATGCACCAGCGCAAAGGGAAGATTGTCATTTTAGAAATATGGATTGTGTTCAAAGTTTTTACAGATTCTTAGCAGAAAAGGAGAGACTTTGCCCAACAATTAAGCCTGCAAAAGCACCAAGGTCAGGAGACAAGCAGTTTGTTTTCTTCCTACCTAGCTGGGTTCAACAGAGCATGCTGCAATCAGGTACCAGGGTGATGCAGTCAGATATAATCAAAGCTGATGGATCTGGCTGCAAAATAATGCCCGTTTTGAGCTTTGCCAAATTTCAGCAGATTACTACTGGCCAAAAAAGCACCTAAGCAATCCTCTGGAATACAACTCTGCCAAGTTTGAATTTTATTTTTTTAACAGTGTCTGGGCAGAAAAAGTTCTAAAAGCAGCCTGTGGTGAGTGGAGGAAAGGAGATCAAGCACGTTCATTAGCTTAACTGTGAGGGTTTGCTTCATTAAATACAATGTGCCCCACCTACGTACCCGATTGTCTCTAAAGTAATGCTAACATGAATGTTCTCAGAACAACATCCCTCGCTGATACTAGTAAAGCAAACAAAACAGTCTGCATGTTTTTCAGTACATATGAGGACCATATAACAAACCTTAAAGGCTATTGCTACAACTTTCAGTTCAGTGATACAACCAAGCACCCAACAGACAGTAAACACCCACAAACTTGTATGACAGATCTTTGGCAACAGCCAGGGACCAGATTGTCAACACCGGGATTCCTTTTGGCCCTGTGTCCCCCATCAAGCTATGTCTTTTCAAACCCATTTCATGGAATCAATGCAAATATATGCAAAGATTCATTTCCGTATAAGTTCACCATAATCAGAGCAAAACCATGCTCAACAGAAATAGCTCATTTTTTAAATTAAAACTGCCTACACACAAAATATAACCAATTTAAGACTGTATCAGCACTTAACATCTGCCATTTATCTCTGCTACCATTAAAAAAAGAAGCCCCTCTTCTGGCGATTCAGCCATAAGGTCTTTATTGCTTATTTCACAAATGAAAATCAGATGTACTTCAACACCTTACAAAAAGTTAGCTGTGTATCCACTACCAGTTTGACACAGTAGTAAAACTACCTCACCACCATTATCATGCTGCTAACATTCTAAGAGGACACGGCGGTTACACCAGCTTTGCCAATGGTTTGGAAGGGTTTACTTCCTTCACCCCCAAGCCTGTTTGTAAGCAAAGCCTGCAGTCAGGCTCAGCGGCTCCCAGGACTACACTGAATTTACTGCCTCCCAGCAGCACCCTATGAACAGAAAGCTTCTCTGAAATATATCAACAGCGCACGGGCGAACTCGCCCACTGCTATGTCAAAGATTATCCGTGACCGACTGAAATTTCCAAGTATTCCCGTCGTTGCTTACGGAAAGCTGGCTGGTCACCGCTCTGCACTCTGTCCCCAACAGCTTTTGCCAACGACCAGTGTAACGAACACACCTCCCGCTTGCACGTAAAGACGTGAATTAAAAAGGAACATCTCCCCACCCTACAGAGAAGGTCCCCGCAAGAGGGAGTACGGAACAAAAAAAGCTCAGTCCGAACCACGGCTGCCGGCTGTGAGCGGCAAGGTAACAACAGGCAGCACCCTGCCGGCCGTACCTGTGATGGTTCCGTGCACCTGCGTCCCGTTCTTCAGCTCGATGGTCACGGTCTCGTGGCTCAGCTTCATGAGAAACCTGGGAACGAACGACAAAGACCGCTCACTCCCACGGAGAGCCGCGCGCGTTGCACAGCCTCTTCCAGAAAGCCCCCGGGCACCACGCACTCCCGGCTCCCCAGCCTTCCCCGCGCCCGCGGGGCCTGCTAAAGGCGTTCAGCGGAGCGCGACACGAAGGGAACCGGGCACCGAACCCGACGGGGGCCGGGCACCGAACCCGACGGACCCCCGCCTCCCGCCGACGCCGGCAGACGCGGCTGACACACCGCCGAACCCCGCGCCCCACCTCCCGGCGAAACCCTCGTTGCTGTACGAAAGAGGAGACGTTTTAAGACTCGTTAAGGCCTCGGGAGGGCCCTTCTAGCCGAATCCGGGTCGGCTTTCCCCCCAAAAGGGCGGGGTGCCGAGCAACCGGCGCCGGCCCCGCT